GCCCCTCACTCCCGACCCGCAGCCCCTGCTAGCCCAGCCCTGCCCCCCCCACAGCTCTGCCGGTGCCCCTCACTCCCGACCCGCAGCCCCTGCTAGCCCAGCCCTGTCCCCCGCACAGCTCTGCCGGTGCCCCTCACTCCCGACCCGCAGCCCCTGCTAGCCCGGCCCAGCTCGGGGGTGCCCGGTGCAGAGGAGGGATGCCAGGCTGCTCGGGGGACGGAGAGCCGACCCTAGCTGAGCAGGCTGGCAGAGTGAGGCTGGGGTAAGTGCCCCCGGGGGAAGAGGAGCGCCGGGCGCCCGAGAGCAGGGGGCGCTGGAGAGGAGGAGACGGGTTTGACCCAGCAGAGCCCGGCCTGCCCTTGGCAGCAGGGGGCAGATGCCCTCTGGGCCCAGGACTGTCCCCAGCTGGGGCCCACAGGGCCATGCAGCTGAATCCAGCCACCCAACGGACCTCCCGGCTGGCCAGGGGCTGGGGCGGGGGGGGAAGACAGGGCACCCCCAGGGATGGGGAGGGGGCAGAAGCTGCAGTTCCAGACAGGTGAAGTTCCAGGGGCTCACGTCAGGGTGCCCCCCACCGTGATCCTTCTTACCTCGGTGACGTCCATGACTTTGATGGCTGCCAGCTGCCCTGTCTTGACATGGCGGCCCTGGGGAGGCAAAGGCAGAGCGAGGGGGTCAGCCTGTGACATGGGGTGCACGGGGGAGTAGGGGGTGCTCCTCTCCACTGGCACAGCGCTCGGATCCGACGGAACTGACCGCCACTGGATCTTCGCAGCAATGGACAGAACCAGGCTTTGGGGCAGAGCTAGGGTTTTAAAAAAAAGGACACGCCACAGGGCCTTGGCCCCGCCCCTTCCCCAAAGTCCCCGCCCTGACTCCACCTCTTCCCCAAAGTCCCCACCCCAACTCCTCCCCCTCCCCTGAGCCCCCTGCATTCCCCCTCCTCCTCCCTCCCAGCCACGCGAAAAGGGCTGCCCAAGCGCTACCGGCTTCACGGTTTGCCGGGCAGCCCCCAGACCCTGTGCCCCCGGCCGGGCACTTCCCCTCCCGGGCTCCGGGGGCACAGGGTCCGGAGGCACGGGGGCTGCCCGAAGCCGTAGCGCTTACAGAGCCCAGGAGTCAGGGAATACAGCCGCCACCGGCGCCCGCTCTAAGGGAAGCCAGGGATGCCGGAAGCTGGGAGTATTTTCCCCGGACATGTTCGGCTTTTAGGAAATTCCCCCCGGACGGGGGTTTGATTACCAAAAAGCCAGACATATCCGGGAAAAACCGGACGTACGGTAACCCTAGGCAGAGCTGACCCGTGATTAACAGGGAGGAAGGAAATTTCCCCACCCCCCGCAGACCATGGGGCTGGGGTACGGGTGTGATTAACAAGCGCCCAGGAGACTAGGCCTCCGTTCTGCCGGGTGCTGCCCAGACTGACCACCTGCCCCGCAGCTGAGACCAGGGCCCGTTGTGCTGGGCTCCACGCATGGTGCTGTACAGTCAGCAGGGGCACCAGGCCCTCAGTCAGGGCACAATGCCCGGTCCCAGCAGAGCCGCCCTGCCCCACTCCCCAGAGAGAAGGGAATGTCCTACTCCCAGAGCAAGGCAGCGCCAACACCGGAGAGACCCCCCAGGTCTGCCAGCCCCCCACTCCCCTCCCAGAGCTGGGGAGAGAACCAGGAGTCCTGGCTCCCAGCCCCGCTGTGACGAAGTGGGGGGTTTTCTTGTTCTCGGTGGAGTTTCAATGGTTTGCATGCGGAGGACGTGGGGACCCAGCCGATGGCCGGGAGGATGGATACCCCAGTGACCTGGCGACCTGGTGACCCAGAGGCCCAGCTGAGGAGACGCAGCCGGTTCTGGCCAGTGGACGGACAATGGGCTGCAGAGTGAGGACCCAGTGACCCAACCAGCCGGTTCCAGCCAGAGGACAGAAGCAGGAGCGGAGGCCCCGGTTTACGACCCTGTTTCCCTGGAGAGAAGACAATGGACAGAGGCGGGGCCTGGGGCCGGGGATCTCAGATGCCCAGCTGGGAGCAGGGGGGCTCGGGGCTGGAGAGGGGGAGCAGGCAGAGCCCCCCTGGATGCAGAGAGACTGGGGTGTGCTGGGCTGAGGGAGGCCAGGCCTGAGGCCCTGAGAGTTTCCTGTGCTGTATTCAACTCTCAATAAACCCTCCTGTTTCATGTTGGCTGAGAGTCACTCTGGTCTAGAGAACAGGGGGGCATCAACCCCTTTGGGGGCGGAGGCCCCGGGGGTCCAGAGCGAGTGGACTCCCTGAGGGGGCCCACGGCAGAGACAGACGTGCTAAGGCTCCGAGAGGTGCGGCTCCAGGAGGTGGAGGGGCCTGACCCCGAGAGAGAGTGGACCCCCGAGAAGGGCTGTCGCACTAAAAGGGGCACCCCCCACGGACCGCACGGGGCCAAGAGTGGGCACGATCTGTGAGTCCGTGACACCCGCACTCTCCTGGAGTTGGGGTTTGTGGCTCAGACACGGGACGGTGCACGTATTCACTGGCTCCTGGGTTCTCACAGACACCCCTCCCCACTTAGATCAAGCCCAATTAGGGGCCCCGTTGTGCCAGGCGCTGCACAGACTCCCTGGGGGACCTTGGCCAAGCCCCACCCATGCAATGGGGAGCTCAGTCCTGACCCCCGGGGGGCTGGGAGGGGGAGGCGGGGACCCGGCGAGGAGTGGGGCTGGGGCCTGGGGCTGCGGCAGCGCTACCAACAGGTGAGGCAGGAGGCTGACAAGGCAGAAACAGCAGCAGCCAGAGCTGGAAAGACACGTCCCCCTGTGGTGTGTTAGCAGCCTGCGGAACTCCCTGCCACAGGATCCAGGCTTCGCGGAGGAGTTTGGGAAAGGATCAGTGCTCCCCTGGTTACAGTATAATCCTCCCTAGCGCTCAAGGCATGTCACAAACCTGACCTCTGACATTGCCCTCACTCCTGGGTTCTCTCCCTGGCTCTGGGAAGGGAGTGCGGGCCGGTGGGTTAGAGCAGGGGGGTTGGGAGCCAGGACTCCTGGGTTCTCTCTCTGGGTCTGGGAAGTGAGTGGGGTCTGGTGGTTAGAGCAGGGCCTGGGAGCCAGGACTGCAGGGTGCTAGCGCTGATCTATCATGGATTGAGAAGAGCAGCTGGTCTCCAGCCCCACGCTGCTGGCTGGGGAAGGACTCCTCACGCCCGGCTCCAGGACAGGCAGGGTGCTCTCGGACCCGACGGGGGCGAAGGGGGCTGGAGACCCCCTGGGTGGATCTCTTTGACCCCTGCGCTGCAGAGCCGCGGCTCCGTCCCACGCGGGCCCCCGGATCCCTCTGCCACGTGCCCGCATTGTGCGATGTGCCACGCGCCGGGGGGCGTGGGCGGCTGTCGCCTAGCAACCGCCTCCTGCTCCTCTGGGCTGGGGATTGACGTGGGGGGGCGTGGGAGGCGGCCCCCTGCCCCCACAGGAGCTGCTTGCCGCCGCTTCTCCTTTCTCCAGGGAGCTGCCCCCGAGCCCCCTGGCAGCGGGGTGCCCGAGCAGGGGCAGAGGAGTGGGGGCACGCCCGGCGCAAGGCTGGGGCCGGAAGGGGGGTCCCAGCCCTGCACCCAGGAATCCCACGGCCCAGTCTAGAACAGCTTTGCTCCAGCACAAATGAGTGGGCTCCATGCAGCAGGTCGGACAGCCGCCCCTCCCTCCTAGCCTCTGGTCTGCCCCGCGGCAGCCCAGCCAGGCCAAGCTAGCTCCTTGCCACGCGTAATCAGCTCGTGATTGGCTAACGAGAGCCGGGACTCAGCACTGGCTGGGGCAGCTGCGGGCTTTGAACCGGGCCGAGCCAGGCGCCCTGGAGAAAGGGGGCTGGGAAGGAGCGACAGGGGATTACCGCACCCGCTCTAGGGCCCAGGGGAAAGGAGGGGCCGGCGGTTAGGCAGCTGGTGGCCTGGGTGCCCCATGCTCTGCAAGTGGGTCGCTCAGGGCCAGATTTCCCCGGGTTTTAGCCCCTGCAGCTGCAGCCAGGCGCCCATGGGGAGGCACTCGAGCTGTGTTTTCCCCTTCCCCTGTGGCGTGGGGCACCTGCTGGATCAGTGGGGCCCAGGTGCTGGGGGCCCCTCTCTCTCCCCTGGGGCCCATGCCAGCCGAGCCCCCCGAGGGCTGACTCAGTGCAAGTCTCCGGCCTGTGCCCCTGGAAATGCCACATGCAGGTGCCTCCCAGCTCTTCCCGGGGGGGCTGCGAGTCCCGGCACGTGCTCGGCTGCACCGAGAGAAGGCAGAGCATGGGCGGGGTCCCTGGATCGGGCTCCCGCGGGGAGCTGGGTGGGTTATTTTTACCCAGCCTGGATTCCAGGAGCAGGGGGCCGATCCAGAAAACAGAGCTGGGGTTTCCATGGGAACACAAGGCACACAGACACAAAACAGAGCAGGAAGCAAAGCAATTTTCACCCCAAATCAAACAGCGGGCACCGGGGGGCAGCGCCTGGCACAACAGGGGCCCCTGATCTTGGCTGGGGAGTCTGGGCAGTGCCCACAAACCTCACAAAAGGACTTTTTTTTTCCAATCTATTGCGTGAGTTTTTTCTATCAGTCTCTCAGCGTTTCAGGCCCCGACTCCGGAACACACGTTCCCATACAACCCCCCGACGTGCCAAGCCCAATTATCACGAGCCGGGCTTTCAAAAGCCATGAGATTCGCTTCAAAATACACCTTCAAAAATCCCAAGCCAGTTCTGCTTCTTCTCCTTTGCCTCCTGCGCTCGGAGGGGGGGGCACCTTTGCTCTGCAGCCGCAGGGCTCGGACTGGACGGGTTTTGTTTTCATGAAAAGCGGAGCTTCTCCCACCAGCCGCGAGCAGGAACATGAAGAAATTCAAACACCAGAATCTCTCTCACACACATCTACGAACCCCGCCCTTTGGTTCTCCCACAGCAGCCTCCACGCCGGCTGTGAACAGGCCTCTGTCCTCAGCGGACCCGATCCTTAACCGGGCGGCTCGGCTGCTCCGGGGCGGAAAAGCTGCGTCCCCTCGCCGACCGGCTCATACAGCCCGTCCCACGCTGCCTGGGCAGGTGTGGACGCTGGGCCCGCCTCTGCAGACTGGTACAAAGCGCTCATCTGACCAGCCCCTCGGCAGTACCAGCCTGCCAAAGCTGAGAAGGAATCGGCCCTCGTGGGAGATTTTGGGGCAGTCGGACTGGGGAGACAGGCCCCATCTTCACTAGGAGAAAAGTGGGGGTTGTTTTGGGGTTTTTTTAAAACCAGGTGGCAAAATCCTATTGTGACGAAGTGGGGATTTTTGTGGTGTTTTACATGAATAGCGTGTGCCTGCCTCAGTTT